TGTCTCCAACACGTACACCCCAAGGTACTATGCCTGCGTGTGTGCAGGCTCCACTCAATTATCAACCACGCCTCCAGATGTGGGTTTTAAATTATCTGAGCAAAGGCCACGCCAGGACTTATTTTTAGTCTAATATTGAAAACTGGTCTGTCCGCATGGCCCTTGGTGGACTGACTTCTGTCTGTTCCACCCCTGCTCTGGGCTGGCTGGACACCCTTCAACTCCAAACCAACAGCACCACGCTCATGTTTGTAGCACTGCTGGCTCCAGGAGAGCAGAGACTGACCAGCCAATAACTTGCAGGTCTGCCACGGTCACCCAGTAAAGGTCATGCCAGACTGGACTTGAGACAAGATTTGGGGGAACTGATTGAACCTGAATTACATGGCACATCTTACGTTGATATACGTGGTATACGTTGAAGCTTTGATTCAATTAGATGTGACTAGATGTGACTTACAAACCACATCACAGTAAAGACATCACCGAGCCATTGTAATCACGCAGGTCCACCAGCCCTATCTCACCTGGGAGACAGAAAGTAAGGAAAACATTTCCAACACCCAGCCATGCCAAGCATTGGGGAAGGTATTAAATGGGAGAGGGAGAGCCTGAATGAGTTTAAACCAATGAGTCTACAAACTTAGTCCAATGACATCACCAAGATGACAGCTATGAAATCTGTGGGCCCAAATCGGCGTGTGAAGAGTTAGACTTAATTGGAGAAAGAAGGGCTGTTTCACCTGCCCTCTCATGGGAACTTCCAATGGGACTTAGAGCTGCTTGTGATCCCCAGCAGTTGAAATAAAGGGCTCAAAAATCAATCCAGACAGCCCAGCTTTCATCGAGGTGCCTCACATTATCCCCCAATCCTCATGTTCCCAGCACAACTCAGCACTGCCTCGTCTGCTCTTTCTCCCTCTGTCATCTTCTCATCTGATCCCGAGCCTCCCTCTGCTGCAGGGCACCTGCAGAGTGAGATGAGACAGCCCAGCCACTACTGCCGGCCTACACAGGCTGCTAAAGTAAAGGTGCTCATCCAGGTTAGCTAGGTAGTGACCCAGACAAAGGGCACGAGCAGAGTCCAGGTGAGCAGCTACAATGATCCACATGTTGGTTTAGAGCATCTGCCCATCACTGGTGGATCTTCTCGTATCCTGACAGTATCCAAACCATGCTTCCTCCCAGCCTGCATTCTCTCTTTATCCTCAAGACTTTACCTGTTTATTGAAGTCAAGGGAATAAACTAGAGGAGGACGCAACAGCAGAAAACAAGCAAAAGGGATTGCCTGACCTTTTCAGAGATTTCAAACATTATCTTACCTTTTAAAAATGAAACTTTGATAAGATTTTAGTATCTTTCTCCCGCATAAACCTTCCATCTCAGAATGCTCTACAGATTGCTCTGAACCTTCTTCCATTTTTGCCTCCATCAAAATGTTTTTAAACTTTGACACTGATTCCTGTTCTGTTTACCAAGCAGGTCTGTAGCCACAGACTCCCAAACCTTGTTTAGCTGCTTCAAGCTGCACAGGGACAGGATCACATTACCATTTTGAGTTCTCTGGGTGTTGAAATGAGCATAAAGGACCTTTCTCTCTGCATCAAGGCACATGATCAAGTTACCCCATCCCTGCAAGTTCCTGCCTGTGAGCTGAGCCACAGTGACCACCCAACTGCACAATCTTAGCCTGTGACAAACACAAGACAACATGTCTTATTTAACACTTTCTCACTATGGATGAGGCTACTGCAACTATCTCACGCTTACTGGGCTCGAAAGGAAGACTTCTTGACAAGAGTAGTAGGCATGTCTTCTCTTTGAGCCCTAGGGCTTTCTGAAGAAAGCATCTCTAGGGCTGCTCTAGTCTGACAATGCTCAAATAAAAGCGTATACTCAGAGGAAGGTGTAAGTCTGTGGTACCATGACAAAATATGTAGCATCATGGGAAGACCTTCCCAGACACCAGACTTCCTTTCTGAATCTGGCTCTCAGAGTCTAGCTTGACCATGTGGAGCAAAGCTGGTGTTAAGATCGACACTACAGCCCTATGGCCAGGCTAGCACTCACACACTCCATGGTCCAGCTTGTTATACCTGCTAAATGCTCCAGCTCTTCTGAAGGTGTCCACACCACAGAACGAAGCTGAGTGGTACCCCATACCACGCACATACCATGTAGTGGGGGCATAAGGAAACCCAAGTCTCTGGCAGATCCCAGTACTCACCCCAAGTATAGGGTTGCATCCACACCGGATGGACGAGGATGCAAGGCAGATTTTAATCCAGAGAGCTCTCAAAATGCAGCACCATCAGATCCCCAGTCTCCCAAGCATCCTGTCTTTGGTCTCAGATCCAGACTGGTATCAGGGTTGTCTCTACACCAGAAGATCCTTGGGTTTCTCCATACTGTCATAAGATCTGTGAGGCCCATACCAACTATGCCCCTGTGAAAGGGAACCAGAGGTCCCGCTCCAGCCAGCATGTAGGCAAGGGGAACAGCAGCTGGTGGAGAGATCCCATGCACATCATCATGACAATGCAGATGTTTCCAAGAACCTGCGGTACCAACGTGCCTCGTTGCACTCTCTAGCCTCGTCAGGTGCCAGATAGGCATGGGAAGGTGGTGAGATGGAAAGCAGCAGGACAAAAATACGCTTCCAGAGAAGAAAGTTACCCAAGAATGGAGACAGAACACCTTGGAGACCTGGGCCACATTTTGAGTGCTGTCTGGTGGATAAACCTGCCTTGAGTCAAGGATGCAGCAGTGCCCAGAAATTTGTAGCCACTGGAGAAGAGGAGGAGGAAGGCAGGGGTGACTCAGAATGTCCCAGGATTTCCTAGTAGCCACACTTAGAGATGGTAAGAAAGGCTTTAACAGTGCTCCAAGGGGGAAATACGTAATATCCCGCTCCTTTTCCCAAGGCAGGGGTAGAAAGGAAGGCCAAACCACCCAGGAAGGGACTGGTACCTTCAGGAAAAACACTAGTTAAAAACGTATACACCAGGAGCAACAGGGCTACAGGGAGTGAGGCATGTGGGGCTGCACGGAATGATGGGGTTTTGTCCCCTTGCCCACAGAGACTGTCTGGGCCATGGGGAGAACACAGTGAGCTTCTTGAGGTGGAGGGTCTAACACCCTTGCCCAGCCTACCTGGTAAGATGCCCGCCTCGCACCACAGGCCAAACAGAAGCGGCTAAGCGCTGTGACCAAGCTGCCTGTGCGAGGTAGCCTCTCCTTTCCCAGGGAACTGCAGCTACCACTAAGTTTGCTTGGTGCTTTCTCAACAAGGCGTTTAAAATCCAGTGGATCATTTATAGTTTTCAGTGAAACAATGAGTGGCAGGACAACCTACAGATGCCAGATAAGCTTTTCAATACAGATATTTAAAAGAAATGCAAGAATTTTACAAGAATGAGATACTGGTCACCTTTCCAGATCATCACACCTCACAACATCTTCATCACCTCCTCATATGTTATACACATGTGCAATTCTATGATAGATCATCAGTAACCGTAAAAATCAGGGGGGCTATGTGTTATTTAGATAACAATTGAGAGAGATCATAAAAAAGGAATGTGAAGGAAAAAGGTCAGTTACAACTTTAACTCTGGACTTTAGCATCTCTTCACATCATTAAGAAAAAAACAGACAGGCAAGGATGATGTGCCCACAGAGGAAAGAAGTTTTTCAAAAGAAGAAAATTCTGCGCAAGCATACAGCATTTTGCCTGTTTCCTCTCTATTGTTGAAATTTGGCTTTTAGTGAAAATAGTATATATCTAATGCAACGCAAATATGTAGCATGGATCTATGCTGGTGAACACAAAGGAAAAATCCTGGGGAAGGATGGTATGGTCATTGCATTAACGGTGCTGCATCTCAGCTTGATGTCCTCAGTGCAGTGGAAGGCTAAGCACCGCACAAGAGCCAATTTTAAGTGCGGTTTTCTAATTGGAAAAGCTTTTAAAGGATACCTGGCCAGTCCCTGCTATGGCTGCAATCAGATTTCCTTTAGAATCACAAAACATCGAGCTTTCCACGGAGGAAACATCCCCACAAAATCTGCAAAGTGGAATTGTCAACAGAGAGGCACAGCCAGCTGGGCTGTCGGTTTCGGGCGTGAGCAGCTGGAATGGAAATATAGCACAGATCCCAAAATAACTGCCTGGCCCTCGGCTCTCCGGGGGCCTGCTCGGTTGGGCGGGATCCTGGCGGGCTGTCCAGCGTGCTGACGCTGGCTGGGTGGCCCCCAGCGGGGAGAGACTCTCTGGCAGAAGTAAAGCCCTCCACCAGAAAGAGCTGAACCAACGGCCAGACACCTGCCTTCTAGATCTACACTTGCACGTACGCTCTGATTTTTATTCTTGCGTGCCCATTTTCTACTGTATTTGTGACAACTGAATAGGGGAATGCTAAAAAGCACTTCCACCACATTAAATCAAATGCAACATTTTGGGAAATCTGTTCTTCCTTTCTGAAGACTCAAGGAAAAATGTGATAGTATGGCACAGACGTATTTTCTGCTATTTTCTTTGACATCCTGAGAAGACTCACGTCTTTTTTCTTGTATTTACTATAGTCTCTTTTGGTTTTCTCACCTATCCTCAAAAACAATCCAAACCCAAAAAAAAAACCAACAAAAAAAATGCTAAATCAAAGGCCGTAACAAGCACATCTTACAAGTATCAATAAACTCATGTATTGAAAGAGCTGGGAATGCTTAAAATCCAGCTGCAATTTTAAGTAGCATGTTCTTGAAGTTACCATTGCAACAGTTATCAACCTCTCCCTCTCTAAGACAAGACGCAAGCAATATAAATCGTATTTTTTGAAAGATCTAGAGAAAGATCAGTGGCTTTGGGAGAAATCAAAGAGAAGCAGTGATTAAAGAAGATTCCAGGAGGCAATAAAGCATTTATGCAAAATGTCTCATAAACCCAAAACAAATAAGGGGGAAGAAGCTATATGGGGGGAGCGGGGGGAGAGATACTTACACTCTTCTTCCATAACAACTATTTTAGTTTCTGAGGCTGGTAAGACTTGTGGTGCTTTCGTTGTTCCTGGGGAAATTAAGGTAAGAAAGTAGTGAACAAAATATCTATATTGAGCAGAGAAGAGTGGGCTTAGCTACTGCAGGGAGGAGGACAAGAGCAGGTGCTGCTGGGTGGCGCAGGCTGGGGTGGCTGTCAACACGTTAGTACTGGTTAGAGGACGCTCAGATGGGTAACTGGGGAACAGAGGCAGATAAAACGAGTGCCCCTGCAGGGGATGGCACAGGGCACACTGGTCCCCTTGCTGTAAAGGGCCTCATGCCATTAGGATCTCTGTCGTGATAAAAAGGCAGAAATGGCTCGGGATTCACTTGGCAGGTGATAAGAGAAACTGTGGGAGGTTTTCTTAGCTCTGACGGCTGTGAGAGTGCAAAGACAGGATCACAGAACACGACAGTGAGAAAAATGTGGAGTTTAAGAAAAGGTGAAATCATCTGAAGATCCTCCATCCCACAGCATGTGCAGGTCTGCAGCACAAAGTAATGCTCATACAGGAGACGGAGAAACATGAAAGAGATGAAGGCCATGGCCCAAGGCAACACAGGAGCTGAGCACATGTAGTGATTTCCTGGATACTGGGAGAATCCAATGTCCACAGTCACCAGCTCTACTCAAGTCCACGGGCAGCAACAGCCCCTTCTGGACCAAAACCCCTCACCACCCTCTAGATGCACAAAGGAGAAAGCACCAGGAGCCTACACTGTGCATGCAGCACCCTGTCAGAGACAGGGGGTGAGACCACCGTGAAAGGGTAAAAGCAGAAAGACATTTTTATAAAAGTTTGATTTTTCCTGCAGTGTTTAGCAAAGGGGTAGGGGGGAGGTGCGGTGTAGAAGTCAGTTAAGGAGGTGTCTAGAAATTTTCTGAGGAAAAAAAAGAGTCTGAAACAGTCACATCCCAGCTGTGCCCTCATGCCCATGCGATACCAATATCAGACTACTCAATAAAGAGAACTGGGAAAGGGGACATTTTTCTAAGAAAGCACCTAATTTACCTCAAAGTAATAAAAATCTGAAAACAGCACCGAAGCACAACATGTTTTGGCGAAGTCCAGAAGCATTCCCTCTGAAACCAACACCCTCCCAATGCTTTTCAATGCCAACGCATTTATTTCTGAGCTGGGCGTTTTGTGGAAATACCAGAATTGCAGAGGAGAGATGAGGTCATGGGTTTGGCTGATGGGCATTTTCTAAGTGACAAGGGGTCACTGCACTGCAGCCACTTTCTTTCCAAAGAAAATCTCCCTTCATGGTGTTTTCACTGATTTGCAACAGATCTGCGTGGCTGAAAAGGTGCTCTTTTGAAACTGGTACAAACCAAGAGAAGTAGCAGTGGAATAAAGCAATGAGAACTTGGCAACGGCAACGCTGCCTCATCAGGCTGAGAAATTTTTACCATCAAAGACTGAATCCCAGACCTTTCATCCACAGGCCTGAGGGTCTCATGCGTGAGCTCCCTTCTCTGCCCGCCAGGACTCAAGTGGGCTCAGGAGCCTCCATCTCTGGCCTCTGCACCCCTGGAGGGGGACGGCGTATTGGGCTGAGGACACCTTGCTCCTCCGTGATGCTCATCTCAAGCCTCAACAGCTGAGGCCACCTCTTGCAATGACACCTCTCTACAGAGGCACCCAGAGATGTCCCCAAACCTCACGTCTCTGTACCACAAGATGCAGTGTAGCTCAGGACTTTTTCCCAGTCCTCGATTCACCCACCTGTATCACAGCAACATTACAGGACCTCCAACAATATCACTAAGTGTCAGGTCAGAAAGCGCGCTCCAGCAGACAGTCCCAGGGCCAGGCTGCCCGCGGCAGGCAGATGCACCCAGTTCCCAGGGCCAGAGGACAGTAAAGAAGCAGAACACAAAGCAGCAGAACATACAGAAACAGCAAGAGCTGGAGTGAGCTTCTGGGAAAGAGGGGAAGGCTCCAAGGGGAGGCCAGCTTCAGCGTCTGCTCTAAGTAATTGTTATAAACTGCTACAACTTCAGAGAGCACTGTGTTGAGACTTAGCCACGACAGGATCAGTGTGAAGGAGCCTGGAGAAGAATGCAGGCAGGGACAGAAGACAGCACACATGTGGATTCAGAGACAAGCAGATACCCCGAGGAGTTTTCTACTGAAATATATCACAGAAGAAGGGAGCTTGCAGAAGTAAGGAAAGCTATCAAGGTCCCAAGAAAGCCCAGCAGTAAGGAAAGAGGGAGAGTCCAGGACAGCAATTCCTGGGCACAGACGACGGCTGCTTGGGTAGCTCCAGGGGTAAGCGAAAAAAGTGCAAAGGGGGTGACAGAGCTGCAAAAGCCTACAGCGACCGCCACCATCTCGCTTACCTCTGCAAGGCACTACACCCAGCATTCAGCTGCTGTCCTACCCGCTGAGCTGCCAACAGCAGCAGCAGCAAGCTGTGCGTGCGTGCAGCTGGGACCGGCAAGCCAAAGGCAGATTTGCAAGGCAGCTTCGAAAATGGGCTGATCCAGGCACTGCCACAGCAGGGCACAGCAGGCAAGCTACTGAATCTGTGGCACCTTGCAGCCTGTGGGTTCCGCTAGGAAAAGGTACAGGCCTGACCTTTGGGTCTCTTTCGTTGCTTTTCAGGTCTCAACACATTTCTGGGCAACTCAGGTGTCCCCTCATACCTGCTGTGACCCAACTGGAGGCAACCACCAGTCCTCGCCAGATAGCGTGCCTTCCCGCAGAGGAAGTTAGACCCTGACAAACGCTGCCATTACCTGTGCACGCGGGAAGGGGCGGTTGGAAGTTTCGGGGGCCTGGTGGCCGTTTTCCTAGTGCCATAAGCAGTGAGCAGGATCAGAGACTTGCAGTCAGTGCTGCTCAACCACGCTCTTGTGAAAGGGGATTGCTAGTGACTGGGAAGGGTGTGTGGAGGAGACAGACAGGGCTCTGGTGGCAGGCACATGCTGCCCGTACGTGTTGCACATGGGGAGGGGGGGTTGCACAGTCAAAACAAGGAAAGCTTCCATTGCGGTGGGGCAGCCAGAGCGTGAGTCAGAAAAAAACGGAGTGGCGGTGCCTCAGTTAGCTTACTCTGGACACCTTTCCTGTCGTGATCGGAAAGAAACACAGCAGAGCAGTAGGGCTACCTTCATCAACGTGAACCCTGAAGGCACGGGTGTCTGAGCACGGGTGGCCTTTCTCCAGGCTTTGCAAGCACTGGGTTTTTACAGGCAGAGTAACGCAGGGGGAGGCTATGTGACATTGCACCTTCAAAGAATAAAAGATTCAGGACTGCAAACATTGCTGAGGCAGAGGTTAATAGAGAAAATCATGCCAGAAAGCAGCAGGAGAAAGCTACCTTCGTTCACATTTGACTAATGCTGGTAAGAGCACGACAGAGAAACCAGATCACACCAAAGGGCTGCATGGCAGGAGGAAGAGCTTAGGAAACAGCTTGTACAGAGTCATCCCTCCTCTAGTTGCACCCTCCTGGCTTCTGGCAACCACTGCAGGGACTTTCTGAGCTGGAGGGTGCATCCAAACCATCATGTTAAGCAATGTAATTATTGTGACCAAGATAATAATAAAACCACCTAACCTCAGACTCCATCCGCTGAACTCTAAGAGATGGAGCACACATTCTAGGATGAAAACCAGAAGCAACTTCACTCATCACAAAGCTATGGTGTAATTACTTGTCTTCTGGTGAGTTTTGCTTCTCAGAAATTCTTTTAAAAAAGAAAACGCAAGCCCACCAGCTTGCTTTCCTCCTTACCCCTTTTAAAAAAACGCATAGACTGTAAGTTTATTTAAAATGTAAATTAATAACAATGTCAGTGACAGATAACAAAGATAAACATTTATGCTAAGCTGCATTTTTCTTATCTCCCAAGATTGTTTCACTCAATATCCTGAAAGCATGAAACAAAATAGAAGACAGATCATGTGCAGAACCGCCCGCTTTCTCCGTGAATGGCAGACAGCTCAAGACATTTGCTGGCGTCTTCACTTACCACTTTTCACATTCAGGCTGCCTTTTGCGGTGTCTCTCCCTAAAACGTTCTCCGCTTCACAGCTGTACTCCCCAGCATCTTCCAGCTTCACCTTGTTGAACTGCAGTCTGGAAATCTTTCTGTTGAAAAGTACAGCAGACATTTCTTACTCGATTGCTAACCATACTCATGAATTGATAACCATCCCTGGCCCTGGTACTCTGCCTGCTATGTCACCCCTTCTTGAGAGGACGGGCTGCCCAACATCACAAGCTGAATAGGCACTGAAGCCCATTCAGGATTTGGATGAGACCCTTCCCAGGAATCATAACCACCATGATTTCCTAAATTAACATCTCCCTCTGAACACCTTGCTCTTAGCATGTTGCCATGGTTTGGTCTGACACCTGCTCTCATTTGCACAGAAAGTCTTGTGAGGGGTTGAGCCCAAGAGTCCCAGCATCCCAGCATGCAAACTTTCTGCATTGGAGAAAACCCATTTTGCCGATGGACAATGGGATCTGCCTGCAAGGTGGAGACGTCAAGATGAGATGCACGTTCTGCACCTTCCTCAGCAAGGAGGCTGAGCAGTCCAGCGCTTCATCAGGTCCGTTCATCAGTGCCACACACTCAAAGGCCATCACCCACAGGGTCGGGGGGGGCTCATCCCCTTCCAGCCCGCAAATCAAAACCCTATGGCTTGACCTAGACCATTAGCTTGTAGCTTTATCCAGGCCAATAAATGGGGCAAGAACTTGTCTCCCTCAAATACAGAGTCTCCAGTGTACTACAGACACGTGGGGCTGAACTGCACCCAATGTACGTAACAATTGCCCGTGTCACCTAACGCACTGTGCTGCGTTCTTCATGGCAGGGGGAGCAGCTCCGTGGCATCGCCCTTCCCACCAGCTATGACTGATGTCTCATTCTCTGGGATGTCTCTCTGACTAACAGGCAAAACCTTTTGTTGCTTAGTTTAACAGAGATCTATAGGAGCCTTCAAGACACACCAAATACCACTCAAGAGACCACAGTGGGACTCCCACATTAGGCCCTCTGTTTTACTGCATTTCCTTCCATTTTAGCCATCTTATCAAAAACTGCCCTGTGTACTCTTCTCGTGAGAATATCTCTCTGCTTTCTACCCCAAGCTTCTATCCCAGGTCTGTGCCATACAGTCACTTTATTTAGAGGCTGGGTAACACTGCCCACGTTAGAAAGAAGTCCCAGTGGCCTATATTGCTGAAGGCAAATAAAATTCCTTTTATGTGGAAAATAATCATCAGCTTTGGACATACTTGCAGTGTTACATGTGTCATCTGAGAAGGACTTTTCTGTGGGCTGTGCAAATCATCATCCATAGGAAGTCCTTCACAGAAACACACTGGCATCTTTTTAACGCCCTGACATACTGTTCTACTGGGAGGCACAGCGCAAGGACACAGCATGAACATCTCACTAGTTATATTAGCAAATTAAAAGCACTCAGAGACAACTTGGTCCAGCTCCCAGGACACAGGCGCTGCCCTGTTTTACTGGATGCGGTAAACTGTTCAATTGCATGAGTTGAGGCCTCACGTGGAGCAATTTTTAAATGAATGTTGACAGTATGCAAAGATCGCTTGAACCCTTATAATCCTAGGTGTCCCCTAATCCACTGTGCAAAACCAGTTACTTGGGCCAGCGTGTTCCAAGATGCGTGCCTACACAAGCAGGGTGACGCAGAGCGGTGCAAAGCTGCCTTGACTCCCAGTGCTGTACACTTCTCTGAATTTTTTCAGGTCTTTTAGAGCACCCTGTGAAAGTCCTGGGCATTGCGTCCTTGCTGCTGTGATGCCTTAGGAGTCAAGCAGCACCCAAGAGACAGCAAAGCACTTAAGGGCCTCCAGGGCCTATTGCTGCCTGGTGGCAGTTAGGTTCTGCGTCTTGCTGGGGAGGTACGATGGGTGCCTGACGAGAGGGGTTGGCTCCGCTGGGCTGTAGCGCCCAGCCCAGGACCTCTCCCTCCACAGAGGCAGGAGTAGGAACACGCAGCACAGGGGCGAGGTGGGCTCCCGGCACGACTGCGTGCAACTCCGACAAGACTGTCCCCAGTACAGCCCAGCTACGACTTTCTCTCAGCTGTCTCAGCCCTCACTGACAGAATACAGCACTTATTTTACAAACCACCCCTACAACAGGCTTGTGGCTACTGCTGCAACGCAGAGTGAAAAGGCAGGTAGCATGTGTTGAAAGCAGCTTGGAAGAGCGAGGCTTTAACTCAAAGTCCTGCAGAAAACCACCCTCGCACACCAGCGTGCTGAGGCTACCTGCCACCGCAGAGCTGAAAGCATTAACAAACATGCTGCCTTCAGCTGCGAGAGGACAGATGTGCTAATGATAACTGGCTGCATTGCAATCTCACATGCACGGCATGTTTGACCGTGTGTAATAACTGGAAAACTCCACTACAGCATTAGAATATCACCTATGTACGTGATGTTTTACGGGTAAAGGGGTTTAAGTCCCAAAGATATAAATTAGTAAGTTATTAGTGACACAAAAGGGTAATGAAAGAGGGCACACTTGACAGATTCATCTCCAAGAACAGGATGAGAGACATTTGGTCTTTTACCTGGAACTGGAGAGGAATGCAAGCAGAATAAAAAGCAATGTTGTCATTTATAGCATATCAGCATCAAGGTGAAACCAAAGAGGATTATTTTGTTTTAATGCAAAGACTGTTATACTGTCAAAAGAGCTCCTTTTTATTTTTCATCACAGTTGGTTGAAATTCTCCCAGATTGTAAGATCCCCTTGAAAAATCAAGAGATTTTTCTTGCTTTTTATACCCCATACCAATGGTGTAGCTACTCTTGGTCTTCACACTGTACTACTGTATAACGTCAGATAACAGACTAAGGGGAGAGAGGTGAAGGGTACAGACAAGGATCAGTCTTAATGTGGAACACAGCTGCAGTAAAGAGAATTTCCCTATTCCAGGAAGCACTGAAACAGCTAGAGAGACACCTTATTCCACAGCATTAGTCACGCACCTTTTAATTCACATGGATAATGCCTATGCACTAGAAGAACTGAACTGAAGGAGGTAGAATAGACTAGATCTTGCTTGATCTGTGTGTGGCAAAGATGACCGGTCTGTCTCACTTCTATTTTACTGTCTCCATGTGCTACTGAAATATCTCAAAATTGCCTAGGAAATTGGTTTTCAAGTTTGTGTTTTTCCTCCTGCTGCCCCTGAGGGCAGGTACTTTGTTCACTCGAGGGCTGAGCATGTTTTTACAGAAATACCAAGTAGCAGCATACAAGGAATCATGTTGAGCACAGGAGTTTTGTATCAAGTGCCCTGCTGCCCTTCTGGGCAGCGTGTCTCTTGGGGACGCCAGCCCCTGGGAAAGCCCTACCGTGTGCATTCACAATGCCATTCTTCTGGAGGAAGGCGCTGCCCCAGGCTGTTTGCTCAGTGAAAGGGCCAGGGTCACTGGCAGATCCCATCATTTCACTGCAGTGCAACTCTGTTGACATTTCTTTACTCCAGGGGAAAATCTGCCTCATTGTCTTTTCTGACCCTCAGCACATATGACTTAGCCACGCACTAATTATCTCCTGTAGTGCCAGTGCAGGAATCAGCCATGGGGAATATGTTGTCTGCAAGCTGTAGGGGATAGGATTCACAAGGAGACCTTCAGCCTGGCCAGAAGAAGATCCTCCAAAATACCTTTCTGGCCAAGAGAAAAAGAGTCCCCCAGAGGGCACTTTGGAGCGATGAGTAAATCACTCTCCCCAGTGCCAATCTCCAGACTACAATGGGAAACAGGAGATCAGCCCTTGGCTGGGACCTACACAAAGATCCTGGCAAATTATGGCCAGGAAGGGTGGCCTGCTGTAATTTAGACATCTCAGAGTTAGACATCTAAATGTGGCTTTGGGCCCTAAGGTCTCCAGCATAGTCAGAGGAAAAGAAACAGGCACTTCATCTCCTCCAAGGAGTAACTTTTTATGACAGGAGTCATGTTCCCACCAGCACTTTGGCCAAGCTTGAATCATTCTTCTCCTCTTACCTACTGCCAAGTGGAAATGGGACCATCTTCCCAGGTCATCTCTTCACAAAGCCATTCGTCTCAGAGTGTGTAAGCAGGACAACAGCTGCCATGAGCTGCCTCCGAGACACCTATGTTTCACCAAGGACTCAGCGTTCCCTATGTGAGTTCAGGACAAAAATAGCTCTAGCATTACTACTGTTGTAGTATTTTATTAGTCTTCTAAAAATAGGGTAGCTAACACATAAGCAATAAAGAAGTCAAGGAATTAGCTGAGGAAGAGAATTTGAAGACTACACCATATGCGGCCCCTAAATTGTCAATGAAGAACACTGCACATAGTAAACACACCTGAGATCCTAGGAAAAGGAAATTCCCAAACATGACCCTTGCAAAGGACACACTGAATACACTGCTGTCGTTACCTATTAACTCCATTCCTTTCTGTTTGCACAGAGAGCCGGTGGCAGGAAGCACACCAATATTGCAGAGAGCAGAAAGGCCAGAAATTGCTGTAACGTGTACTGCTTACGCTCCTGCCAAAGATTTAATCGGTGCCTATGTGCTGTCCTGGCACTCTGCACGGTGGTGCATTCGCCCTGAGACAGCAGTTAATGGTTGGCAAGAAGATTCAGAGTATCTAATGCTTCAGCTTACAGTCAAGCAGTGTTGTCCAGCAACCGTCAAACACCAGGCAGCCCCACCAGCTGGAGCAGGGGCTCTCAGTGTCCTGGCCTCAGAGAACAAATTCATCTTCCCCAGCACACAGTGGGATAAAATCAGGCAGAAGAGATCACTGCAATGCAAAGCAGAGTGGGGATGGCCGTGGCAAAGAACCTCTGTCTGGCAGGGCAGAGGTGGCAGCCAGGAGCACCCTCTCCCCTACGCAGCCAGACAGAAACCACCTCAACCTCTTCCCTGTCCTTCAGTTACAGAGCAGCACAACAGAGCTGGGCAAGCCAGCTATGCCTTGCAGCGCTTGAGAAAAACAAAGTGGACCTATGCTGGCCGCTGTGCACCCTAGGGCATGATCTGGCTAGCTCAGGATTAGCGACAGAACCAGGAAACGCGAAAGGGAGGGAAAAATGCCCTCAAGCAAA